CTGATGAATACAGTCAAAAGGGACATCTCAAGTGTTGAGTCATCCTTTGAATTGTCTCGTCTTCCACTTTTTCGTTGTAGCCATCAGTTCCAATCTGTAAGTCTTTCAGGTTCAAGAGTTCTTGAAAAAAACAGGCTCTACCATCACAAAAACCGCCTCTGGATAAATACGTTCAACGTCCAGAGAATGACCACAGTTCATGGTACCAACACATCTGTAAATCAGGGAAGGTGCCAGTAATTTCTGGAAGTCAAGTAAGAGCAACATGGCCACTTCCGGAAGATTATTGCCGTACAATGATGTTACTGCACAAGCCTAACTGGAGAAAAATCAACGATGTTAAAGACAACAATGAAACTTGTATTGATATATTTACAGTTTTCTTATCTTCCGAATTATTTCCCAACTTTATTAGGGCAGACGTTGAAAGAGCAAAGCAAGAAAATTTAAATGCTGAAAAGCCAGAATGGATGGATCTTTTGGAACCAAATCCAGATTTTGATAGTAACATCCAAGACTTCACATACGATGATGGAGGACCAAATTATGATTGAAGTGCTGAGACTATTCCATATACATTTGACAAAGGCATCAAATTTCTGGAAAACCTTAACAAGCAACTTCCTCAGAACAACAATAGTCCAGGCCTTGATCTCCCTGATGTTTCACATCATTCTTTAAACAGTAAACAGACCTTTGCATACAATCTCGTTATGGACACACTCACACAGTACAATGATGAAAAATCTTACTTTCAGCCATTGCGGATGATTGTTGCTGGCACTGCAGGTTCCGGAAAAAGTTTTCTGATACAGTGTCTAGTAAGGTCTATAAGACAATTGTTCAAATCAAACAAAGCTGTACAAGTACTTTGTCCAACAGGAAATAGTGCAAATTTGATTTCCGAAGTCACAATTCACAGTTTTCTAAAGATTTCCACTGGACCTAAATCTGCCAAAGAAATGACACCTCCAGTTGGAAATACTTTATCTAAGCTTCATGTAGGTTGTGACGGGGTTCATGTCTTACTTGTAGATGAAAGATCACTTGTTGGATGTAACACTCTGGAATGGAAGGAATATACTTGCCGTTATAGCATGAACAATGGCTCCCAGTCTTCTTCATCATGGGGAGGACTTCCTGTAGTTGTCTTCTTTGGTGATGATGTGCAACTGTCGCCTGTCTGTGATTCTCCTGTTTACAAATGCTAGAGTAACAAACCAGCATCTCTTCATGGGGCACATGCATGGAAAGAATTTACAATAGCAGTAACTCTTCACAGCATTATTCGCCAAAACTCAAACCAAACACACCTAAAGGATGCCCTGACAATACTACGTGATTATACGTTGTCACCCATTCAAGCTAATTGGTTACAGAACTTTCAATGGGACACCCTCAGGAAATATCATAGTCAGTCATTGCTTGACAGAACGGCAGATCATGGTTTATTTGTGTTTCCTACACATGCAAAATAATGGAAACACAACAAACATCAACTTTTGCAATTAAATCAGATATCTGCTATTGCTAGAATGTCAGCTATTGATCAAGGCCAGCATTGTAAAGCTGTATCCAGTGACTCCTCAAATGGCTTAACCAAAACATTGTTCTTGTGTAGAGTGTAGAGGTGCCAAAGTTATGCTTCGTGTAACTTGAATGTTAAGCATGGACTTTTCAATGGTTCCATGGGGCAGGTTGTTGACATTCTATACCTGAATGGCAACAAACCAGACAACAGCATTCCAGATGTTGTCATTGTAAACTTCATCAAATATACAGGTCCTCCATTTATTGACAGCCACCCAAAATTGGTGCCCATATTCCCTGTTGAAAGGAAAATGGATTGTTATTGTTTCAATTGCAAGAGAAAACAAATCCCGCTAATGTTAGGATGGGTCACCACAATTCATCGTTGCCAAGGAATGGCCATCGGTAATGGAGATGCCAATCGATACATAATCATTCATCCTGGAAACAAAACGTTCAAGACCAGAAATCCAGGTGCATTATGTGTAGCACTGTCAAAAGCAAAAACAGCTGGAGGGGATGGAGAAGAACCCGACTTTGCTTGGCACCCTCATGTTTTGGTCGATGAAGACCGACTTCGACAGAAAGTATGCACTGAAACCAGTAAAGCACGGGCAAATGAAATTGAAAGAATAAAGTTGTTTTGTAAAATCACCTAAGAAACACAATCACATCTTAAAGACAAACAAGATTTCCTCAGTCAACAATTAGAAGAATAACTGAACTGAAGACCATCTATACATCACACTTTGTTGCTTTAGTACTCTAGTGGTGGGTGATATGACAATCGCTAACCCAGAGTTTTATGTGACATAGTGATTAGTAAAATAGTCTATAACTTACAATTTCATCTATGCATCATTCATCCATGAAATAAAATTTTAAGACCAGAAATCCAGGTGCATCATTTTTACATGTAACACTATTAAATGCAAAACAAGAACCCGACTTTGCTTGGCACTCTCATGTTTTGGTTAATGAAGTCTTCTCTATGCCAGGAGATATGCACTACAACTACTAAAGCAATGGCCAATGAAATTGAAAGAATAAAGTTGTTTTGTAAAATCACCCAAGAAACACAATCACATCTTAAAGACAAACATGATTTCAACTGCCAATAACTACATTTAGAAGAATAATTGAACTGAAGACCATCTATACATCACACTTTGTTGTTTTACTACTCTGGTGGTGGGTGATATGACAATCGCTCACCCAGAGTTTTGTGTGACATATTGAATAGTCAGTAGCCAAATAGTCTATAGTTTACAGTTTCATCTATGCATCATCACTCAAAATACTTTAATTTCATTAATTGCAGTTGTGACATTTTCAGTCAATGATTTATACTTCAAACAATGGTCTTGTCTGTGAACCCTAACATTCACTGTAAACACTTTTGTATACATGTACTTTTGCTTATATTTGAAATGCATTTCATGATAAATGATATCCTAATTAACTATAACCTGTTCAATTCTTTTTTTTTTTTAAACAAATATTGAAATGTAATTTGTTGCAAACACTCCTGTGTTGTGTCATACCACAATTGTATTGCAATTGTCAATCATTTTATCACAGCTTATTAGTATGGAAAGGTGTGCAACATACAGCTAGCTATATCTACCCTTTATTATACAAATGATATTGTAAGGCAGAAAATATCAACAACATTAAAAAGGAGTAGGAATTTTCATCTGGATGTACAGCTTTCTAAATGAGTGGTTGGGAGATAGTGCTACTAATTCATGAAGTACATGGTATATTTGTAACTTGACTTAATGTCTATTGTTTTAGTGTCTATCATTGTTTCCACCTATGTTTACTGATGAGTCAATAAATGAATTGAATTAATTATATAGGCTTCTAGTTTAACAGAAGTATCACTCGGAGGGCAACACAAATTAAATTTCAGTGTTGTTTGCGGGTAACACGTACACACAGACGGATACATTACTGGGAGTGCAGACAGATACTCTGGGTGCAAAACTATTCTTGGACATGCCTGTGTGGTCCATTGTTGGACACCTGTCTGTGCTTGTCCCTATGGATTTCAATTTATTGATTTCAAATTAGCAATGACCAGCTATTAATCGTCAAATTGTGTTTAAAATGTATAATATATTATGTAAATATACTAGTATGCAATTGTATATAAATATATGGGCAAAACACATGTATACTTGTTCTGCCTTATGCTTTTTATTCCCCATTATCATGCTTAGAAAATGGGAAGGAGTGTGAAGGATCAAATGAAATTTATTTGATATTTATACATACATAAAGTTCTATAGTATCCTATCATTTTGTTTCCAATCCTGCTCAAACAGTGGATTTATGCATGTATAAAATTATCAAGAATATGGTACGTAATTGATTTTGAATATATTCCAAAGACACAATGTAGATTAATTTGTAAGAACAAATACCATATATTCATCTTATTAAGTGTAATTATGTGTCAAATATTTAGTATAAGTATGTGTATCCATATTTATGTTTAAATAGGTTCATCTCCACAATGAAGACTTCTATAAATGTGCCAGAGCTTCTTGTAACTTGCCAAACTAACCATTACTGTAATTATCCAGTGTACAACATTCCAACAAGGCATTGCATGAAGTAAGTAATTCTAATTAACTAATATTAATTTACGCTGCACAGATAAAGATAATGGTGTACTATACATCATTACATGTAGGCCTAACTCATCATGGCAATAATTTTGTCTATTCTACATATGAATACTTGAAAATGGTTAACGTTATGTAGGCCTAGTTAAAATACCATTATCCCTCATTCATCCCCAGGGCCATGTCGCATTTATATTATTAAAAAATAAGGAAATACATATAGTATTTCCTGGTATTTCCTGATTTTTTAAAAAAATAATATAAATGCGACATGCCCCTGTAATTCATCTCTTGAAGATTGGAATAGTTCGTTTAATATGAAAGTTCTAGATAAAGAATTGTCACAATATTATCACGTCCTTGGTACAACCTGTGATTGTGCATATGGATATATGCTGCGCCCTCACTAACGGTTGTGCCGTAAAGCATATTACACAATTATCATTAAAACGGGTAAGCTTCATTTTTTAATAGCCGACGAAATGTCTCTTGCCAGCTTGGCCGGTCAAGAAACGAAAACGAAGGGAAGTAACTCTGGTAGATCAGAATGGTACACGTCTCGCTTGTATAATATAAGGATAAACAGACGTGTTATTGATTCATTGCTGCATTTTATTAAGTTTTTGAGGCTTATGTTCAGCTAGGAACTTAGAACTGTGAATACTTTCAAATATGAAACAATCTTTTTAAAAGAAATCGCTATAGATTGTAGAAACTCTCAGAAAAAACTTCCATTTACAATCAAATGAAACTTAAACAAGTCTACCAAAAACCTCGACAAGTCACATGATCGTCACGTGATTTTGCTTACAAACTACGTAGTGAAGTCGCAGAAAGATGGCAGCGGACCCAAACTGGGCCGTCTTGCCAAGCGTTACTCTTGTGGATGTATTTTCGTATCTTTCGCATGATGATAAACTCAGAGCATCTTCTGTATGCAAGAGATGGAGAAGCTGTCTCTTTCACCCAAACTTATGGCAGAAGATATATTTCCAACTTCACAGTTCGAAGCGAATGAAGACGAAGTTTTTGGCTGACAGATGTGGACATTTTGTACGGGAAATCATGATCAAGTTTTGCTCTCATAACATTACTGATGTTCGAGAATGTGGCAGGATTTTAGACATTATGAAAAGCAACAAAAACCTTCAACGATTTTGTTTGCAGCCTTCCAGCTGTCATATAGAATGGCCTGATAACAATACTGTTTATTTATTTGACAGGTAAGCACATAGCTCAGCTGGGAAGATTTCAGCCAATCACAAAACATCTATTTATAAATGTGTGTTTGTAAACAATTGCGCATTGCAGAGAGTTTAAACATACGTAATGCAACACTTACATTGATTAAGTACTTTCTAGAAGGACATTCAAGGTTGGGACACATTGGAATCGTGTAGTGCAGACAGTGTTTGTGTATAGTTATGCAACCAATATGTTGACATGTCGTAATGGGTATCAATCGCACTCCATGACACGACAAAGTCGCGGAAGGTCGTTTTAATGAGGCCATTCCAAGGGGCCGTTATTGGAGTGTAAGACACCATATGTGGTGTTACTCTCGGCATAGAGCAGCACATACGTAAAGATCACATACAGAGTTAAAATATACTGTATGTTTTAACGTTATAGCACAGGAAAATCGAACATGTTATATGTAAAATATGTTAAATAGTATGAGTGCAGATGACAGTAATCGGCCACTTCCCTCTTCTATATATATATATCTTTATAATATAGCAACGTTATCTATAATTCACATAGAAAACATCAGATATAAGATTTTTTTATAAAGCAGGAATTGAAATATTCCTTTATGTATAATAGAGCTTAGTCTCCCTGATTGCAAAGTTTCTCTAAGGCTGACTTGTTGGATTAGAGTTAAAAAGGCAACTTTACATACATGTACGTAGTAGGAAGTCTAGCTAGCTTTTCTTCAGTAATGTAGCCCAAAAAACCTGATGCAATTTCTTAATTTTTTTGGTTAGGTTATCTGACCCAAAGGGTCAAGATGACCTATTGCTGTTGTGCATCGTTCATCATCCTATGCCATGTGCTAACCGTCACCTGTAAACTTGTCATTTGAAACACTACCCATGATCAACTGCTGAACACCTTGGTGGATTAAAAAAAATTAGTCTGAAACATCATTGGGGGAGGGGAATCTTTTATTGAATTCAGAAAGTTGATTTAACCCCTAGGGACATGGGGATGGGGCCCCAAATTGTAGTTAGACAATACTTTGCTTCAAAATGCTACTTTTCCTTAATGCTTGAATAAATTTTATTCAATTTTTGTTTGTTACATCAATATGGGTTGGTTGATATTTCTTAAATGCAGAATGTTGATTTGACCCCCAAGGGACTTAGGGGTAGGACACAAAATGGGAAGTTAGTCAATATTTTCCTTCAAAATGCTACTCGTTCTTAATGCTAGAACAGATTTTAATCAGATTTGTTCAGAAACATACACTGAAGGTTTCTTAATTCAGAAAAAAACATTAGATTGCTAGAGATTTGTACAGGCCCTAACAGGGAATATTAGATAACATTTTGCTTTAAAATGCTTTTCCTTCTATGTACCTTGGTAGCTTTGAACCAGATTTGGTCTGAAACATTATTGCAGGTGGAAAATTGATTCATCCCCTAGGGATCTAGGGTGGGTCCTAAATGGGAAAATTTGTCAATTATTTTGCTTTAGAATGCTACTCTTCCATAATGCTTGTATGGATTTTAAACCAAATGTGGTACAAGATATCATTGTAGATGGGGAATAATTTCTTTGATTCAGAAAGTTGATTTAACCCCCCGGGGACTTGGGAAAGGAGCTACAAATGGAAAAGTTAGTAAATATTTTGCTTCAAAACATAACTCTTCATTAATGCTTAAATGGTTTTAAGCATATTTGCTCTGTAACATTATTGTAGGCAGGGAATTATTTCTTAAATACAGAAAGTCACTTTGACTCTAAGGGACCCGGGGGCAGGGTCCCAAAAGAGGAAGCTAGTCAGTATTTTGCTTCAAAAAGCTACTCCATCATAATGCCTGGGTAAATTTGAACCAAATTTGGTCCGAAACATTGGGGGTGAGTTTTAATCATTTCTGAAATTCAGAAAGTTAATTTGACCCCTAGGGACTAAAGGTTGGGGCCCAAAGGGGGAAGTTAGTCAATATTATGCTTCAAAAAGCTACTAGCTCTTCTTTAATGCATAAATTAATTGCAACCAAATTTGGTCTGAAACTTCATTGCTGGTTGGGGAATGATTTCTTTAAATCAAAAAGTAAGTTGATTACCCTCAAGATCTTTGGGGCTTTACCACAGAAGAAGTTACTGGTAGTTGATATTTTGCTCAAAAACACTTCTCCTTCTTAATGCGTGGGTCAATGTATGTTTTAACCAAATTTGGCCTGAAATATTATTAGAGAGTGGCAATTATATCAAGTGTGCATAAAATAATCCTGAGATTGTCCTGACCAAATCATATTTTTTAGTTTTGTTCCAAAATTCAACTTAACTCATCTTTAATGAATAATCTGAACCACTTCTCAAGTTTTATTCACAATATTGAGAAAACTATTTGGAGTTTGATTTGAAAGACAGAAATGATATATGGTTATTTTTTAGCCTGATCAAAAGTTAAACATAGTAATCACAGAAGCCATTTTTTAACATGATTATACAACTGTTTTTCATGAACAAAACCAACCATTTATGAGTTTCTGATACTTTCAAGAAATGTTCAAAATTTGAATTCATCCGATTTGTTGGATCACCATCAGCACATTCTGTGGTTTGTCCATTCATTATTGTCAGATGACTGTTAAGGGCCATGGCCCTTTTGTTATAAATCAAGATGACTTTAGAGCTTACTTGTAGTGCAGACGAGACCTGCCCTGTGAACATTTTACAGGTCCATTTTGATGCAGATCTCAGCTCCTTATAGTAGTTCAGGGCTATACATATGACCTCACTGAATAACATCCAGAAAACCAGTGATACATGCCTGCCATCCAGAACAATTAGGGTAAAACCGCTTGTGTCAGTAACACTCAAACTCAAATGGTGCTAGTTAAAATACTCATGTGCATCCCTTCATGTTTAAACCATGTCTGTTTACATATCCCAATAGAGGGATGTATGCAAACATCACACATTTACATATGGTAAAATTGATGCAACGACATGTACACCTAATCACCATGGTTCATTATCAATAATTCAACAAACTATGTGGCCTGTATATATAAGTTTCATATTCAAGCTTTAAAGGCAAGTGTTAAATAATATTATAGAAAATAAAAATCATAATATATTATAACAATATACTAAATCATTCTACCGCTAAATACTCCACTTTGGGTCCATATGATATGCAGAAAAGACAGAAACTAATAATAAAAAGCCTTAGGCCTGTTGCATTTACTAATTTAATGGCGTATTGGCCTGTGTATGAGCTATTGAAAGTCTTTGATGAAGTAATGGTATTAGGCAGAAACAAGGCTTAAACAGAACAACGTTGCCTGAACACTAACGTTTGTTGGTTCCCCCATGGATGTACGTAGCCATTTGCATTATATATATACAATTTTGTATGTTGCATAGCGGGAAGATTAAAACTATAGGATGCATACATTTATATATGGGCCTTCTTTGTTATTTTTGATTGTTTTTCATATTTGTCTTTTTTTTATTAATACTTTATCTTGTCCACTACAGGTACCTCGATAGTGTGGAAAGCATTATCAGAAACAGTCGTGAGCTTCGGCACTTCTCTTTAGGATGTCTTGAGGAGTTACTAGAACATTCCAGCACTCTTCTGTCTCTCCTGGGGCGCCATTCCCGCAGTCTCCAGTGTCTCCATCTGGCGAGTGTGAAGGAGGACTCTGAGAGGTACAGGATCGTTGAGCTTGACCCCAAGCTTTTCCATCCATTTACCTCCCTCAGACAGCTCAGTATTGATTATGACCATCTGACAAATCAACTTCTTGAAAGCTTTGCTCATCACAATAAGACCAAACTGGAGAAGTTGATCATCCATGTTCATGGTGTTGAAGCAGACCATGAACGCATCACCAACTCCTCATGGCACTGCATCCGCAGTCATAGTCCTCACCTTCAGGTAACCTTGAATCTGATTCACTCATTTGATGGTGTGGAGGCACTCCTAGACATCCTCCAGCCCAGCTTGCCACTTACGCATTTCCGACAATTTTTCTGCACCCACCTCAACACAACAGCCATTGGTTACTTTGCAACCCATTACAGGACAACATTGCGGTCCATCCATATCATTGACGGCCTGATGGATGGCTATCCGGTACCCTACACTAGTGCTGCTGAAGAGGATGTTTTCGTTATGCTGGCCTGGAGGTGTAGCCTTCTCACAGATTTCACGCTGATTGGTGAGTTACATTGATTCTCCGTGGTTTGCATATTTTATTGGTTGGATAACATAAGGGTATAGATTGATATTTTGCTGCATGAAAAAGGGGTTAGTTCCGAATTTGAAAACAGATTATGTAATGAATACTAGTCTTTTAATGTGATGGATAAAATTGCAGTTGAATGACATTTTTCTATATAATTATGATATTACCTTCATGATGTATCCGTAAATTAATCTATGATCATTGGTTTCCTATTATGAAGTTGAATTGGCTGATTGCGTTTTTTTGCAATTAAATTTGTTTTTTTTTCTTGCCTTTACTGAGTTATACTTGAGTTAGTTTTGTAGACATATCTGTAGCATATTACATGCCTAGGTCATTATTACTTCTGTATTAATAATTTTCAAAATCAAATTTTTAGCCCACCATCTATTCAAATAGATGGTGGGTTATTCAAATCGCCCTGCGTCCGTGGTCCGTCGTCCGTCCGTCCGTCCGCTATTTCTGGAAAAGTACTGGATGGATCTTTCTCAAATTTCATATGCAGGTTCCCCTTGGACCCTAGTTGTGCATAGTACCATTTTTGAACTGATTCGTATTCAAGATGGCCAACAGGTGGCCATCTTGGATTTTGGAAGTAAAAGTTTGTTACTGCTTTTTCTGGAAAAGTACTGGATGGATCTTTCTCAAATTTCATATGCAGGTTCCACTTGGTCCCTAGCTGTGCATTATACCTTTTTTGGACTGATTCGAATTCAAGATGGCCGACAGGTGGCCATCTTGGATTTTGGAAGTAAAAGTTTGTTACTGCTATTTTTTGGTAAGTACTGGATGGATCTTTCTCAAATTTCATATGCAGTAGTTGTGCATTGTACCTTTTTTGGACTGATTCGAATTCAAGAAGGCCGACAGGTGGCCATCTTTGATTTTGGATATAAAAGTTTGTTACTGCTATTTCTTGGAAAGTACTGGGTGGATCTTTCTCAAATTCCATATGCAGTTTCCCCTTGGTCCCTAGCTGTGCATTGTACCTTTTTTTTGGACTGATTCGAATTCAAGAAGGCCGACAGGTGGCCATCTTTGATTTTGGATATAAAAGTTTGTTACTGCTATTTCTTGGAAAGTACTGGGTGGATCTTTCTCAAATTCCATATGCAGTTTCCCCTTGGTCCCTAGCTGTGCATTGTACCTTTTTTTTGGACAGATTCGAATTCAAGATGGCCGACAGGTGGCCATCTTGGATTTTGGAAGTAAAAGTTTGTTACTGCTATTTTTTGGTAAGTACTGGATGGATCTTTCTCAAATTTCATATGCAGGTTCCCCTTAGTCCCTAGTTGTGCATTGTACCTTTTTTGGACTGATTTGAATTCAAGAAGGCCGACAGGTGGCCATCTTTGATTTTGGATATAAAAGTTTGTTACTGCTATTTCTTGGAAAGTACTGGGTGGATCTTTCTCAAATTCCATATGCAGTTTCCCCTTGGTCCCTAGCTGTGCATTGTACCTTTTTTGGACAGATTCGAATTCAAGATGGCAGACAGGTGGCCATCTTGGATTTTGGATGTAAAAGTTTGTTATCGCTATTTCTTGGAAAGTACTGGATGGATCATTCTCCAATTTCATATGCAGGTTCCCCTTGGTCCCTAGTTGTGCATTGTACCTTTTTAAAACTGATTCGAATTCAAGATGGCCGACAGGTGGCCATCTTGGATTTTGGATGTAAAAGTTTGTTACTGCTATTTCTTGGAAAGTACTGGATGGATCTTTCTCAAATTTCATATGCAGGTTCCCTTTGGTTCCAAGTTGTGCATTATACCTTTTTGGACTGATCCGAAATCAAGATGGCTGACAGGCAGCCATCTTGGATTTTGAGAGTAAAATCTTGTTGCTGCTATATCTGAGGAAGTCCAGGATGGATCCTTCTGATATTTCATAGATATTGGTTTCCCTTGGTCCCTAGTTGTGCATTTTACCTTTTTTGGACTGATTTGAAATCAAGGTGGCCCACAGGCAGCCATCTTGGATGTCGACAGTAATACAGCACAAGCATATTGTCCATTATCAACCTGTAACTGACTGCTATCTAATAATACTTTGGGATCTTTTTCAAATGATATTTGCTAATAGGTGCTTAATAAAAATATCTTGTGCCATCATTGAGTACATTCAATGAAGACCAGATCATGAACATTTACAACACCTGTAACAAACAAAAAAAAATCTTCAAGAACTGAAAACAGATCCTCAAATGGTGGGTGCCAAGATCCCTCTGGGATCTCTTGTTTGATTTCTGGAAAGTCCTCTTAACACCCACACAATTATATCTATTATAGGCTATGAGATAGCAGATGAAGATGTTATTGCCATTTCTCGCCTTCGAGGAACAGGGATAAAGAAATTGAACATCCCGCGGTGTTGTGTAACAACAGTAGATGATCCAGAGGAAGATGACATGTGGGGTTATCCAATCCAAATTAACTTCACAGCATTTTCAGAACAGGTATGTTTTATTTTAGAAATCATATTCTACTAATATTATCATCCTTAGAAAATGATGCCGTAGGCAAGTTAGTACAACTCTTTCCCTTTGTATAACTTCTTCTATGCAACCAAAAATTTTAAGGCAAGAGTCATGGTGTTTGTCAGATCATCATCAGTGTGAAAGGATGTAAAGTCAGTTCATAGGTATATGAAGGTATATGAATGTCTTTATCTTCCTAAAAAAGGTTGAGGCCTGTTAAATTGCTAGTTAGAGCAGATTCAAATGAATCTTTGACCAACTTTTGTAGATCACTTGTATCAAATATATTAAGATTTTTATTTCTAAAATAACCAAGAGGATCAAGGTAATTATATGTAGATAGGTAAGTATAAGCATGCTGGGATGATGCTTCATGTCCGTCTCCTTATGATGAATGGCCTTGACATACTTTCAAGGTCTTGACCTAGTTAACATACTTGGATGAAATGGTATGAAATTGAGGATCCACAAAAATGACAAATAGTATATCCTCTTTGAAAGTTGTTTCTATAGAATTTTTCAAACAAAGACATCTCTTAATGTTATATAGCACATACATGAACTGCAAAAGATTTCATCTGCATGAATTTGACTGAAAGACAATATTTTATCATTTTGTGAACATGTTAATGTATAGCAAAAAAATCATACCCACTGCTTAAGATGATGTTGTTTAGGTCAAATACAATGAAGAATGAAAAATGGCCTTTAAAAGAATTTATAGTTTATACTTGATGCAAATTTTAGGACCTATCAAGTTAAGAAATATTATCACAAATAAAACCACATCAGAATGTTTTCTAAATCAGTTAAGGAAATATGTTCTTATTTATGATATTTAGGTATCGGAGAGCTTATCATGGAATTGGCACCCTCTGGATGACCATGAGCTTCCTTTGGCAGTGTTTGATGTTGATGCAGATGCTGAGGAAGCCTACATGGACATTCTGTTGGACGAACAACGACCAGTATCTGCCTGAGTAAAATATGACCAAAATATAGCATCTAAAAATACTGAAACAGCATATAGGATCAACTGACTCTTGATAACTTTGATTGTGATAGAATGATAATGTTGGGGGAAATGATATGTTAGATTGGCCTTAACTTAGACTTAAGATACATACGAACTTGCATGTCCATTTCTGTGATTGGATCTAATTATAAATTATTGAAATCATTGTCTTTAAATCACCTTAATTGCCTGAAATCCATAATCTAATGACACTTTCGAAGGAAATTTGAAGACATGGAATTAAAAAAATTAAGGCTAGTTATGGATACTTTTCTGCTTAATTTTTTTGTTTTAATTAAATTCAAAGCTTTAATGAAATAAAAATTTTGCTCTCTCATGATCATTGTAAATTATCCTGTTTTAAGGCAATTTTTTTTCAAATTCAAATTTCATAAAAAGCTCAAAAACTTTTGAGACATGAAAATAATGATTTTGAAGCTGTGACTTTTGTGAGAACGTGAACATTGATTTTTGCCCACAAATTCATACCACTTGTAAGATTTTAACACTTTTTGTACTTAAAATATATGAAAGTAAGGGAACCACAGCTTAATATGGGCGTTCATGGAGGCAATATTCAAAAATGTAAAAGCATATATTTTCATGGGGTTTAAATTACTTGGATGTTAAAAAATGTACATTTTTGTTGGCACTTGGTCAAATGTTTATGAAATCTGCTATTACAAAGGTACTATTAATTGATGTCAGCTTTTTATCTGTTTCTTATTTTTTGGAATTTATAAATTCTTCGATAAAAGTACTTTTACAATAGCTCTCACTACCAAGTATTTATATTATGAAAATCCTTTGAATTGAACATGAAATCTGTACCCAGTGTCCATTAATTACAATCTTCAAATGAGATCAGTTAACATTGGTCACTCTAATGGTGTATGGGTATTTCTTATTAACAATAACAGAAATGATAATGCATTTATTTAGTATATTTGCCAATTTAGAAACTATTTTTCACAACATTGTGATTAACTATTGTTTAAAACTACACTAATATTATAGAACATTGTTCAGTGTTTATTTTGCTATCTTAATTTTTAAATTTGTCCCTTACAATTTTCAAAAAAAAATGGAAGTTATTTGAATTATTTATTTAGTACTGAAGAGACAAGAAGTCATGTAAATGTTTATGAAGAACATTGCCAATAGGTTTATGTGATATATGAGGTATATATACATGATGTATTTTGTCTTTTTTTCATTTTGCATGGAAACTATCAAAACTGAAATCCAGCAAGAGAGGTTTTGCTTATAACCGTAAATAATACCATTTCGTCACCAGGAGGCGACACAATACATAATTGTATTTTTTTTTTTGAAGTACTGGTAGATTTACAACAGATACTGTCATATTTCCATCACACAAGCTACCTCGTGATTGTGCAAAATAATACCATGGTTTGCAGTTTGATATAAACATCTTGTCAAAATGTTCAAAAAAAATTTTGAAAAACATACTAGATATGTTTACTAATAATGAATTACTTTATAATTGTAGATTGTAGATGATCTTGAGGAATTATGAAATATGCAAATCAGAAATGATCAGTTAATAATTTTTAGTAGTCATTTTAACCTTGTACATCTTGTTATGTTCTGATACCTTAGGACATTTAAAAGTTCTGATACATCACTTAAAACTGAAAGAATTGTGCATAGCCTTGTCTTTGCTGCCTTCCACTGAAGGTTTTAGTTACTGAAAGCAGAATTTCACAGAATATGCTTTAAAAGTTACAGAATGTTGAAGGAAAGTTGATAAAAAGTCAAATGAAAAGTTGTTTCACATTCCAAACCATCAGTATTATGGATGGATATATGAACCATTTTCAAACTACATCTTTTGAATATGGTAAGAAATTATTTGTCATTGATTCATGGTGCGAATGTGAAAAATATTGCAAAGTTCCATCACAATGTATTATAAAACTGTGCCACACCTGATACATTGATGTTTGCTATTGGTGATCAAGGCTAAAAACAACATATTATGCAAAATTGTATCAATTATAATCACTATTTAAGCAATTTACATATTTTTATGAGACAATGTAAACAATGTGTTATCAAAAATAATGTGCTGTATGTTTTTCATATGAATATTAATATTTTTTTTGATGTCATCATCTGTAAAATGCCACTTTTTGGCAGGAATGTTAGACTTTTAGCTTTCAGGATATTGAAGATTGAAAATTGAAAACTTACACCAAGATGATTTATTTAATTATTAACATGTTGCAATTTTCTGAGCATAATAAATCAGATTTGGTCAAACAATTTATAAAGCTAAAAATTGTAATTATGATAAGAAAAGAACTTAGTCTAAAAATTATTACAATTTGCAAGTTATTCAAACAAGCTGATTTAATTAAGTTGTATATCAAGGTAATGCTATGGTGAAGGTAATTAGATAAAGTTGCAAGAAGTGTGTTTATTTTAAATAGTGAAGGTGTCATGTGGAAGGAAAATGAGGAGAGGATTTAGACATCATAAGCATTTATTGTTTTAAACTCTATGTTGTCATTTTATCACCATATATCTCAAATACATAATTACATATGAAAATGTGCATCGCAATATTCTTTATACCATTACAATGCAACAATGTTTGCTAAGTTGTACAAAATTACTGTGGTGTATATTGGTGAACAGGTTTCCGTGCAAAGTTGAGAAAGACACACAATGAATATGTATTACACACACTTTGTTATCAGATACATTTATCTGTAGGTGTCAATTACCAGCTGTGATATGTCATTCCTAGATGCCTGCTCTATCAAACATCTTCAACAGAGATCTGCATATTCCTTTATTTTCTTAGGTCCCTAACCTAATGTTAAATATTGAACGTAAATTATTTAATGTTGTTACTTAATGTTTTTCTCTCTCTCTCTATATATATATATGTTTGTAATTATTGTTACTACAAGTGTTTGAAACACGAGTTACACCATGTATGTAGATATTGTACAGTTTTTTTTTAGGTGATGTTGTATATATTTGCACATGGATTTTATGACTTTGAAGGCTTTTTTTTTTTTTTAATTTCTCCTCATTGCTGTTTGTTTATTGATATGCTAAATTTAGAAGTGTTACTTCAATTTTTTGAAGGTTCAGAAACTCACAAATTCAACATGATATCTGTTTTTTGTACCGATATGCAAAAATTTGATGCTGTGAATTAAATAGATGCTTGCATTTAAAAAAATAAAATGACCTGTCTAGAGAGAGATAAAATGATATACTGTAAGATCTGCCCATACATCCTGTTTATCAACACAAGTTTGCCAGTGAAAAAATAATCAAAATATATGGTGCAATTAGGATGCAACGGGGTTGTGGAATGGTACGGGGTTGATGTTTTAAGCTATAGTTATTAATTCTTCCTGACAAATTACTATATTTATCCAACAATTAGCCTATGCCTGACATTTCAGCAATATTTATTGCAACTGCAGCCAAAATTAGAACAAATGCACTTTGCTGTGGAAATCACAGCCCACCTTTCAATAGTGTGTCAGATGTTATTGGAATCCTAATCCCCCCGGCTTATTGTAGGACAGATAGGGTGTTATTGGTGTCTATCAATGAGGTTAAAGATGTAAATATTTGTAATATTATTATCTTTCATCAATATTGAATTGAATTTAGTTGTTTATGTAGCATATGTAGGTGATGCTGTTGAACATTTCATTCTATAAGTTTTTTTGAATCTTTTGTCTATTATAGGGCTTTGATGTAAAGTATTAGTGCGATTTTATCATAAGCAATATGTTTTTTCTCAGTTAGGCAACAGCACTGTAATGTTTAAAACAAGAGTGAAAAATAAATCTCCTTTAACAATGATTAAGATGAATTGCTGAATTTGATACCAGCTTTGATAGCTAATTAAGATACAACTTCATAATCTTGTTCAGAATTCTTTTCCATAAAATATGATGTAGAATGTGTAATTGTATTTTTAATTAATTAGTAACTGTTTTTTTCTCTAATGTTGCCGTAACAAAGGTGATTTCAAATCTTTACTGAAGTATCACTACATTCATTAGTTTTGTTGAATATTTTTGTATAAAAAACATGTGAATTATTAATTGTCTTTTGAAATGTACAGACATAGATATGATACAAACACCTATGGACAACTGATTTTTATTAGATATTTGATAATTTGGAATTGAACAAATACTCTGGATGCTAAACTATCCCTTCTCTTTGAATTGTTAACATCAGTTCCATTTATATTGATATGTAACTGATTTGTTTAAAGATTGCTGAAGTACTCACTTTTATTTGAGGATTACCATTGTCTTTCAAGGATTAAACACTTCTGGGTTGATAAGGCTTGACCTTATAGTGAAAGTATTAAGTTGTTGAAATTTGAAGAACTCTGAAGGCCCAACAACACCTTTATAGATAACCTCATGGCCTCTTTGTAGAAATTAACATTGATATCGTGAACTGTTATTTTCATGATATATATCCTGGTTTCTTTAATTTATAGAGTTGAAAACATGTTATATTTTACATCAGTAATAACTTGAAGGAAATATATGATTTATTCGTGATATATCCACCGAAAAGAAAAAAGAAAGAATGATATCGTCAGATCTTTTCATATGTAAGAGTTGTGTCCCTTTACATATTATTCTAAAATTATTCATATTGTCAGGCTCTTGTTAAAGATTTCCTTAACTTCATCAGAACCTTTTTTTTCTTGATAAATTGTTGAAGTATCATACACACACGTAAATGTATTTGTAAAATGAATTTTAAGAATGGGCAGGTTTCAATGGGAAAGTATTGGTTGAGGCCCTATAAGTTTTACAGGAAAGGATATGAAGTTCAATATGCACATGTTTTCTCACATACTTCAGCATTATAAACTATGATTACATAACAATTCACATTACTCTTTACATGTTGCACTGTAATTTAGAATATTCTGAAACTAATGTTTATTTTATCTACGCATTTATTTCTGACTTATCTTAAATGTTAAAAACTTGGTTTATTATTTCAATTAATCTGTTTTTGTTAGATTGCTTGGAGGGGGTCAAAGGATACAACTGATCACAGAACTTATAAATAAATTGATAAAATCTCGATAATAGAAAAACATCT